TTCAAAAGGGACAATAAAAAAGCTAAGAAGGAAACAAAAAGACCGGAACCTCTCCAGCAACCAATAGTCAGCTAAGCAGGGATTAACACCAGACGAGCAGAAAACAGTACCCTAATCAAGGAACTACTAAGGAGAAAACCACACCCCCACCAACACTGACAGGGCAAGCTACTGTATATAAACAGGGAGCAAGCCCCACACTCACTAGCACTGATGTTGTTACCTAGTTGGGTAGTGAAACACCTACAAGCAACCAACCAAGGACTCCACGGTTCAATCCTAAGCTACGTGTATGTATGTATATTCTCTTCTGTTGGAACCGTATCTGATATTAACCAGTATTCAAATTCTAAATTGGGACCAAACTTATAAAAGTACAGAAGGAAATAATGATTTAACATTGTTAGTCTGTTTTGATTCCTTTCTCTTTTGTGTTCCAAACTCTTGTATAGCAGTCTAAGGAACAAAGAAGCAGGTACAAATGTTTTTTCAGTTCAGTTATCATGACAAACCTTAGTTAATGTGCAATAATTTCAAATTTTGATTTCTGATCATGGTTTGTTGGTCAGTAACATGCTCTGATTTATCCCCAATAAGCTTGAATACATTTTGTGGCTAGAAATTCTGAAGGAAATAAAGTAGTTTTGGAGGCAAAAACAAAAATATAAAAGCAACAATTGGAAACTATTTCTATGAAAAGAAAAAGTAAGGTAATGAGATAGGTAATGAGAAAGCTAATACAGTTGCATTGGAGCTGTCTGGTAAGGTTACACCGAGGTAAAAGAAGGTGTAAAAAGGGAAATACAGTACAATCACAGAAAGGTAGCCTGAATGCAGAAGGCTAATATTAGCAAAAGTTTTTTGCTAGCAAGAAGGTTTGCAAGGAATAATTAAATAACAAGGGCTTCTTTGACTAAATGGAATGTTCAAGGAAGGAGTAGGTTTGTATTCAACTGGGGATAAGGAAAACATCATTTAAGGAAGCTGCTTAGAGAATATCTAGCCATTCTGAAGCAGTTCAAGTTCTCAGAGCTTAAATGAATTACAATCCAGTAGGGTGAAGGAGTTTGTAGATGTTAGTCCAGGACTTTGAAAATCAAATATTATTCCCATCTTCAAGAAAAGTGAAAGCTACAGATTGTCAATCTGACATCAATAGTTGTAACAGATTATTAAATTATTTTTACAATGTTCACAGAACTATAACTTAATAACTAGTAGTCAACAGCAGGCTTTGTTCATTCTAAATTAGTCGTGTGAGATTAAACAGAACACAAGAATGCCATGGATATAATATGTCTTGGTTTCAATAAAACATTTCTCAAAGTTTTAGACAACATGATTATTAGGGTACCAACTTTGGTGAAGACAGAATTTTTTCTTCAAGGAATCCAGACATCGTCAGTATTCCCCTATTCACTCAGTGGTGTTATTTTTGGTAGTTCATGATAATGTGTGTAAACAGAGCAGTATAAGAGGTTTAATAAGATGCATTCCCGTCACATGCAGGACAGTCTGCAGGCCATAGGAGCGTACAATTTAGGATGTCCTAAAGCTATTTCAGAATGCAGAAGACTTTGGGCCTGTTAAAGTTCTCTCAGCTCCGTTTATTCCCATAGCAACCCAAAAGTACAACCCAAAAGTACAACTTATTCCTACAGGATTGTTATGGGAATAAACTGAAAAGAATACCATACCAGCCTTGATCTTGTGAGAAAAGGTAGTGTGTGTGTGTATGTGTGTGTGTATATATATATGTATATATGTGTGTCAAGTCCACAATGTCCAACTCCCAGTTCTGAAGCACTCTCACGCAACCAGGCTTGGTTCAGAAAAATACTTCTTAATTACGTGGTACATGTAGCTTGTAAACAGAACATTTCTAAAACTAAAGCCTTGGGTAAACGTCCCTCTATTTATCCCTCCTCCCCTT